CAGTGCTTCACACCTTCAAGGCAAGCACTCTATCACTGAGCCATAACCCCAGCCCTAAACGTTTTATTTTGAAACAGAGTCTCAATATTATTACTGAGGTTGGTTTCAAATTTACAATCCTCCTGCCTCAGTTTCCAGAGTAGCTGGGATGTGTGCCACTGCAATACAATTTTTTTATTGATGTTCTTTTATCTGCATTTTGCAATGAGAAATAACTTCCATTCTATTCTGTAAACAACATTTGGTTTGCAGTATTTATAAGTCTTATAAGTTTAAATTATCTTAGCTAAACTTAGTACATAAATTATTATTGATTTTATAAACAGTTTCATGAGACAGCTTTGTGGAGCATGTCTGTAATCCCATCTAATTGGGGGGCTGAGGCAGGAGAACCATAAGCCCAGGGCCAGCCTAAGCAATTTAGTCAGCCCCTGTCTCAAAATAAGAAAACAGGATGAGGGTATTGTTTAGTGGTAAAGCACTTGCTTAACATGTGCCAAGCCCTGTGTTCCATGCCCAGTATCACAAAAGAAAAAAAATTTTTTTCCATTAGAAAACAAAGCATAGTGCTGGGATTGTGGCTCAGTGGTAGAATGCTCCCCTCATACCAGCGGGACCTGGGTTCAATCCTCAGCACCACATAAAAATAAAGGCATTGTGTTGTGTCCATCTACACCTAAAAAAATAAATAAATATTAAAGAAAAAAAAGCATAGCTGTGTATTTAATTAACATTGAGATCGACAGTTTGTGCATAATACTTAAAAACAAAATTTTGGTGGGCTTGGTGGCATAGCCTGTAATTCCAGTGGCTAGGGAGGCTGAGACAGGAGGATCAGGAGTTCAAAGCCAGCCTCAGCAAAAACTAGACATTAAGCAACTTGGTGTGACCCTGTGTCTAAATAAAATACAAAATAGGGCTGGGGATGTGGCTCAGTGGTCAAGTGCCCCTGAGTTCAATCTCTAGTGCAAAACATAAAAACAAAAACAAAAACAAAAACAACAAAAAAACAAAAGCCTCTGAATTATGTGAGTCCATTAAAGTTTTGGGCTATTTTTTCATATTACCAGGTCCTAACACACACAGGACTTCATAAATATTTAGTGAATGAAAACATTTTGACAATACCAAAGGTTCAGTATTTTATTTTATTTCATTTTATTTTTTTTTTTAAAGAAAGAGTGAGAGAGAGGGAGAGAGAGAGAATTTTAATGTTTTTTTTTTAGTATTTGGCGGACACAACATCTTTGTCTGTATGTGGTGCTGAGGATGGAACCTGGGCTTGAGCCACTTCCCCAGCCCAGTTTAAGGCATTCAGTATTTTATTTATTTTTTAATATTTTTTGTTGTGGATGAGCACAATACCTTTATTTTATTTATTTATTTTTATGTGGTGCTGAGGATCAAACTCAGTGCCTCATGCATGCTATGCAAATACTCTACCACTGTGCTACAAACCCAACACAAGGTGCAGTATTTTAAAATATAAACCCATCTTTCAAATTTTTGCTTGGATAAATGCTTTCTGTACTCCTAAGAGTTGCCAGATTCATATTACATAATATTTATGTTATATAATATCTGGGACATAGTTTAAACTAAAAATATTCAATTATCTGAAATTCAAATTTAAGTTAATGTTCTCTATTTTATCTGACAACCCCATCAATTTATTCCAACAACATGCATTAAGTTCATGACAAGTGACAGGAGCTGTAATAGGCACTGGAGAGAGTAGTGAAAGCCCAAGTGCAGCCCTCCTGACACCAGCAAGGAAGAGAGACATGAAGCAAATCATCACATGCTGATGATGAAATTACTATTAAGAGATTCTGGGGGCTGGAGTGGTGGCTCAGTGGTAGAGTGCACGCCTAACATGCCCGAGACACTGGGTTTGAACCTCGGCACCACATAAAAAGAAACTAATGTATCCACCTAAAATTAAAGATACATAAATAAATAAATGGGTTTTTTTTTTGTTCTTTTTTTTTTTAATTTAAATTAATACAACCATTTCCAGAGTGGTTGTATTAATTTTTTTTTTT